AGATCCGCTGTGGATTTCTTAACTTTATTCATAACTGTATCTATTGGTTTATTAATTTCCTCATATGGTCCTGTTCGTATGTGAGTGTTTACCTTGTCCAAATAGTCTGATTTGTCTAATACTACTGTTGCATTTCCTTTGTCTGACTTTGTGATAACTATATCCTTGTTATTCTTAAGGTGTTTCAGGGCTTCTATTTCTTGTTTTGTCAGGTTAGGCTTTCTACATTTTTGTCGTTTTAGTGTCAGTTCACATTGTGCCGGTACTTCATCAGCCGTAGTTTTGTCTATCCCACTTAGTGCTATTTCTATTTTAGGGATGGCATCCTCAGGTTTCAGTTTGTCTACTGATACATTGAAATTTAGTCCCTTTTCTAATATACTTATTTCCGTAGGACTTAATATATGTGTTGAGAGATTGATAACCCACTTTGATTTATCGATCACCGTTGACTTTAGATTGTTGACTTAATCATTCTGAGATGAAGATTTCTCTTCTAATAATTTGTTGAACTTTTTGACTTGACTATTTTTTGACTTTTTGAAAGTTGCTGATTTTGCATCGGTGGGGAAATTCACCTACTTATGAATTATCTAAATATTTAGCCATGGTATTAAATCCCCTAAAAAACCACTCGAAATCTAGACTAACTAATTCTTGAGCAATTAAAACAAAACCTACCTGGTGAGACTTATGGGATGAGCTGTGAATAAAAATTGGTGCTGAAAATCAGATGGTATGAATTCAGCCCATCTCTCCAACAATTTCATTTGTCTGTCAAATACAGTAGCAACGGTCTGACTTAGTGACCCACTACTAGGCCTACTGATCACCTCCAACACTCTTCACAATATAACATAGACCTTTTCGAGTAGCCCAGGAAACACTAAGGCCGGGGGGCAGGTAACTACTGACTGTCTTAACTTCTTAATGTTTAAAGGAATTGATTTCTTCCGAAAGAGAGCAAGTCATGCAAAAGGAAATAAAAAAGAATAAGTGAGAGAAGATCAACTTAAGGGAGTCCAGCTTTAGTAAGCAAGGCGGAGAAACATTTGCCTTTATGTACAGTATGCTGTATTCTATTAGAGAAATAAGAATGCAACCAGTTAACAGCTCTGAACTCGGTTTGTGCCGAGGAAAGCTTATTTAACAAAAGACATCTCGGTACAGAGTCAAAAGCTGATGTGTAGTCAAACAAGGTGCACGGCCAGCAGGTGTTAAGATCACTTTCATCTATTCAACAAGTGCTACCATTTGATGCCAGTGTTTTCCAGTTACTGATACTAATAGATTGTATGCATATGTGGTGTATTGTTGGTCTTGTTGATTACCAAGCAGATCACGTAGTGAGGTCCCAATATTTTTGGTTTCCAAAAGAAATATCGATGAATTATTGCCTTAATTATCATTGTTATTACTAAAGCTATAATTATTACTGGTTACTAATAATACTTCATTCATTTAAATATCCAGCTTGATATAGTTCGTGGCTGTACAATTACACTTTCCAGATGTGGTATTTTGTTTTATCTCTTGTCCGTGAGCATTCTGTCACCAGACGATCTCCTCAATGTATTTCCGATCCATTTCCATTTCCTTCTACACCTTTGTTGAGCAGAAGACCCTTGGTTGGTCCGTTCCCAGAGTTCTTTCTTGCTGATTGTTTCCGGTTGGCTATCTGGTCTTCATTATGGAGCTGGAGAAGTGAACAGCTGTCGAAAAAAGTCTGTAACTAGCCGCTGGAAATGCTTTTCACGATGGGCGCATCAATTTTCTGATCCATATAGAAGAAGTGACAGACTGACTGACTGACTTAACATTTGGTGTTGAAAATCCGAATTTTTTTTTCTACGCTGAGGCGGAATGGAGAAGATTTGCAGACTGGTTTCAGAGTGATGATGTTATGCCTTTTCTTGCTTTTCTGATCCTGGTTTTGACATCATCATCCATGCTGTCTGCCAGTAGTTGAAACGATGCTGCGTAGAGAAGGGAAGAGGAGTGACATCAATCAAAAATTTCTCCCATTGATATTGATTGATGCTGGTTGTTGGTTGTTTGGTTGGTTATTTTCATCACCTATGTCTTTTTTCTGTGTTCAGCTGAAGTCCTGTCTTCTCTGCTTCTTCTAGTAAGTGGTTGATTTTCCTCCCGGGAGGCTTCGTATTTTTGTGAGATTAGATTAGATAAGTCTTCCACGGAATCTTCTGGAGTCTACTTATGTGTTTAAAGTGTTCCTGCCTTCTTGCTTCCTACAGTTTGACTCATAATCAAGTCTACCACACTTAATAGTGTCATCGGTTATATTAAAAGGCGAAAGATTTATCCGCAAATGAGGAGACACCAGAGATATCAGGGAGCGAACCAACCAGGAACCAACTGTGAAACAAATAGGCAAGAAGAAATGAAGATGGATTGGCCATACTCTGAGGAAACCATCAAGTGACATCACTAGACAAGCCATCGCTCGAGTGGAACCCGAAAGGGAAGCGGCGAGTTGGTCGTCAGTGCAAGGGTGACTTGGAGGAGGTCGTGTGAAGAGGAGATGAGAACGTGTGGGCAGACTTGGAGCCAGGTGAAAACTCTAGCAGAGAACGGAACACAATGGAGACGCGCAGCTGAAGAGCTATGTTCCTCTAGGAATTAAAGGAAAAAAGTAATTACTTGACGTTAAAAAGTTAATTTACTTTTTATATAATGAAGAAGATTTGTAGCTCAGGTGGATGATATTGAATTAGTTGTGTTCTCTGAGAAGCTGGTTGGTTGATTCATTTGCGAAGCTTTCGTCATCCGCCTTCTAGACAACATCGCCCCAGTACAGGTTTTACTACATAGTGGACTTATTTAAATTATCCATGAATGATGCAATTGTAAATCCTGGTGACCACTTTCGTGACTGGTTGTTAATTTAAGCACAAACTAAATAAATTAAAACAATTAGTCCCCTTGATAAATTTGAATAAAGCATTAAAAATGCGCTTTCGATGGCTGGCTGACCAAAGTGTCTTTGAACTGTCAACTGCATAATTCGATCACCCTTGAATGGTAGGTTAATAAAGATGACTTTCTATGGTACAGAAGCTGTCTTTTCGAGATGTGGTCTTTCTTTATTGTGATAAGTGATAAAGGTTTTCGGATAACCATTAGCTAATAAAACTGAACGTATCTGTCGAAGCTCATCCATCAATTTGTCACTCGTGCATATTTTTCGGGCCCTTGAGAACAAACATTTCAGTAGGGAACGTTTATACTGGATAGGAACAAAATTGGTCAAATGAAGATATTGTCCACTTCATGTCTGTTTACGAAAAATAGATCGCTGAATCGTTCCATCATCTCTCCTGGTCATTGTAATATCGAGGAAACCGAGTTTGTTATTCGATTCGAGTTCGGAACTCACTCGAATATTTGGATGAATATGATTAAATAGGGTAATAAAGTTTTCAATAGGTTTACTATTATTACCAATAATGAGAGTGTCATCTACGTAACGTTTATACAGCATAAATTCTTCAAACATACCTTGCATTTTCTCTCCAATTTTAACATGAAAATATCTGCTAATAGAGGCCGAAGACGGCTACCCATTGCAACATCATCGATTTGTTTGTATGCCTTTTCTTGAAAGGTGAATCTAATGTTTTCTGTACATATTAAGATGATGTCTCTGATGTAAGTTACAGGTATAGGTCAGTGTATTTCATTGCTTTTGATGTAATCGCAAATGAAATCAACAGTTTCACTAAGGGGAACATTGGTGACTAAAGATTCTATGTCAATTGAACACATAACCTTATCCTTAATGTTCAAGGTGTCTAGCATATCTGTCAGATCCAATGAACTTTTTACAGAATGATTTGATAATGAGTCTCTTACAGTCGTATGGACCTCTAAAATCCATTTAACGATTTTGTGGTATGGAGAACTCGACATGTCTAAGATGGATCTCAGCGGGTTCCCAGTTTTGTGGATCTTCGGAAGGCCGCAAAACTAAATGATCAACTATAGTAGTATTAACGCGATCACCCAGAAAAGAAATTGTGTGCAGACATTGTTTAAAAGAATTCAAATACAATGTAGCACTCCAGTGTTTGTTGAAGGGAATTAGCTAGAAATACCTACTAACCGTATTCAAAAGGAGTGGATATCCTCACAATTTCATCAAAATGTGTTTAAAGTCGAGTCATAACACGAACAACTAGCCAACATCAAAGACCACACGAAAATTCATCCTACCATATATATAAAAAATATCTCTGAAATAAGAGCTAGAATATTAAAACCGTTTCAGATGGATATAGCACACAAGCCAGTCACTCAAGTAGCCAGCACAATCACTTCATTCGATAGTATGCAAACCGAAACATCCAACAGAAAAAGAATATGACATTCATACCATTTACAAAGTAAATTGTATGAACTGCAATAAAAATTACATCGTTGGTCACAATGGGTATCCCCTTAAAATCCGAATCCAAGAACACAAACTGGCTGTAAAAACACATGACACATATTTTCTCATATCAATGCATGTAGTTAATGATGAATACGAATTTGATTGGGATAAGATTGGAATTGTAAATAGGGTAAACGCCAAAAATGCCGCCAGTGAATTCCTGGTACTCAAGTCAATCAGCCGGCAATTAACCATGCACATGGTTCGGCGTTCGATCCCCGGCCGCAGACGCACTCCTTTACCTCACTAAGCTAGAAATAAAGTTGGTAAAGAGAAAAGGTTGGGCATGAGGCTAGCAAACCCATCCTTGAAAAATAATCACTACTGCTACAGAAACATCAAGCATCTAGCTTGAAGTTCTATGTTCTGCTGGGAACGTGAAGGAAAAAAAGATGTGATGTTGTCTAAAGGGAGAATGACAAAAGCTCCTCAATTAAACTAACCAGAACCTCAGGGAACACAATTAATTCAGTAATTTATTTAAAGTTTATTTAATAAATCTTTTAATTTTTATTTCTTGTTTTTCTTTTTTTTCAACAACTTTTAGTTTCGTAATGAACTTGGTAAGATTGTAACACCAGGTGATCCAAGGGCTGATTTACATGAAATATGTCGAATTGGTAAAGGCAGCACTGGTGTTGTCTATCTAATGAGACATTCCCCGACGAAACATTATGTGGCTGTTAAGAAAATGAATATTTTCAAGCAACAAAGACGTGAATTGTTATTCAATGAAGTAAGCTGCAATTTGTCTTCTATGCTGCATGACACTGTTTGTTTGTTACTGTGTTAATTGAAACTATTTTCAATTTCTACTTGACTGATTTCATTAGACTGGAATATGTGGTCTTGATCAACACGTCAGCCTCTAGTGTGGACACTGTAACGATTATTATTATTGTATCCTTTAATTCCTAGAGGAACATAGGGCTTCAGCCGTGCGTCTCCATTGCGTTCGGTTCTCTGCTAGAGTCTTCACCTGACTCCAAGTCTGCCCACACGTTTTCATCTCCTCTTCACATGGCCTCCACCAAGTCACCCTTGCACTGACGACCAACTCGCCGCTTCCCATTCGGGTTCCACTCGAGCAATGGCTTATCTAGTGATGTCACTTCATGGTTTCCTCAGAGTATGCAAGGATGCTTTGAGTTTAACTACATGACATGTGTTGGATGATGGTGACTAGTACTGGTATCCAGTAAACACGTGTTTATTCCTAGCTGTATATATATAGACCTGTATCTCAGTCAATGGTGTTCTGTTTTTTTATTGACTATTAAATCCAGCGCTCATCGTTCCAAACGAGTAATTCGCTAGACTACTAAGTGAATTAGGTTTAATTAGGATGAAACATCCATCTTGGAGTTCACTGCTAGCCACAATTGATCAAGTAATCCCGTCTTATTTGACTGATCTATACTTTCTGATGGCATCGATATTTCACTTTCAGTAAAATGTCTAGATGTCGTAGACAGTCACCTTCTTCTGATGTTCGTATTTTTCGGATTTCTAGATTCTTACTTTTGCACTGGTGTAAAAAAGAAGTTGGCAAAGCGAAATTTGAGAAATGATTATTCCATATTATTATTATTAATATTAGAAGGAGAGAGACTGACGTCTCGTGGAGGATTCTTACCTACCAGGCCCAGTATTGTATTCAGAGACGTTGCTGCTGAGCTATTCAGGCTTTTTATTGACCTTCTGTAGTAGTTATTTTGATCAGTCACTGGGCAATGGTTAATGTCGTCCGTGTAGTCCTTAGTGGTGTTGACTGGATTCTGCCGGTCAATGTTACATAATATATTCTTCTATGGCTTCTCTGGCCTTGCCTTTAGAACAATGCAGAAAGTACAAGGTACACTATCCGTCATTTTTCACCTTGGAAACAACATATAGGTGACAGTGTCTGATATGTTTTCGGCAGCTCAAGGTCGACACTGATGAAAGACAGCGTTATGTCTGTCTTGCTTTCACAGTTATTTAATTGATCATTCTTTCTTTCTTTGAGTATAAACATCACTTGTATTTTCCTTCATTTTTAACATACTTAACTCTTCATACAATTCTCACTTCAATCTGTACCTTAATTTATGTTCCTGTAACCCTGCTAGTTGTAGTATAGTTAGTAATCAAGTCTATATGGGAATATAATAAAGAAGTACTTGCCATATATCTGGAGGCATAGCTGACTACATCAAATTTCCCTCATCCATAGTAGGTTGCGTAAGCAATTTCTTTGCTCAGACAGAGCGTTCATATTTGTTGAGTTAAATTCACTTCGACAGGTATCCTTGAGAGCACTTCTAGATTCCTATCGTATACACTAACCGCCGAACCTGATTATGTTGTAGCATTCACAGATTTAATAAATTTCATGTCTATTTAATTAATTAATTATTTGATTGGTTGGAGGATAATGAACTGATATCGGTTAGAGGACCATCGGAAAACTAAGGGGGAGTAGTGGACAGCTGTTTCGTCATCCTAGGTTGGGACTCTTCATCAGTACAAACCCACACTGCCAGGTTCGAACCTAGGAACTGCTGGTTACAAGGCCAGCGAGCTCATAGACGCACCGTTCCAATGGCTAGTCCATGACTTCCAATTTCGGCCACTTCATGATATGGCGTGACCGCTAGCAAATGTCATACGTGATGAGTATTTGTACTCACACCTGAGCTGCAGTAAAACACTGGTCACGACTTCCTCACTTGAACCCATGTAATTACCTAAGCCAACATGGACTGGACAGTTTATCAACTTCCAGAGCTTTGTCCCACTAATCCGAAAGAGAAACCTGGTACGTACGTTGTGCTCAAGGATTCGAAAAATCTGCTCGGAAGACACAGTAGAGAAAGAATTAAATTTATTACGTAAAACCCTACTAGAGAATGGGTATCCACCAAGATTTATTGACAAAAACATGAAGGAGAAGCCTCTGGTGTCAAACATCGCAACGGTTCCTAAGAAGACTCTCTTCATGAACCTAGAATTCAAAGATGATGTCACAGCGGAAATTCTCAGAAACCGCCTTTCTAAATGTCTGAAGAAGATATTTCCAACAGCCACTCTGCGTATCACATTCTCCTACAGACAGTTAATCCAGTCTAACGCTAAGGACAAGATACCGCTTTTGTCCACGTCAATGTGTATTTATCAATTTACTTGCTCGTGTGGAGCAAAGTATATTGGCCGTATGCAACGTCAAGTCCAAAAACGTATTCTGGAACACTGCCCCGCTTGGTTGGCCAGAGGAGAAAAGAAGAATAGCAACAGCTCGATCCTTGAACACCTTGTCATCTCTGGACATCGAGCACCCCCACATGAATGCTTCACAGTGTTACACAGAGTCCCTCAATATCGTACAAAGGGACTTCGGATTCGCCATCTGTACATAGCTGAAGCATTAGCTATTCGAGATCTGAAACCGGAACTCTGCATACAAAAGCGACACATACATTCTCTTGCCTTACCATGGCCAGAGTAAAGTTCTTATCACAATTTTGCTTCTTTCCTTTATTATGTAAGTTCACTATTATTACTATTATTATTTTATTTTATTAATACTTTTATTATTATTTTGTCCCCATCATCCACATTTTATTACCACTCTATTACTGTTTATTAATAACACTGTTTTTCATACATATTTTATACAAAAACACTTTATAGCCCTTCCACTAGTTCCTGTCCATTTTACACGAGATTATTGATTATTCACTATCTCACACTTATTACGTCATGCCAACTTCTCTCTCCTTTCTAACTTACAATTAGTCATCCCTTCTTACACCTTACATTATGTAATACAATTTTCCAAGGATAAAATTTACCAGTATCTGATTGGTCTAAATATTTCTTTGTTAATTATAATTACGATTGTACAACAGCTCATGAAAATGAATCGTCGAAAAGAAAATTCTCTTCGCTGTTTGTGCCTTTTTCTTATGACTCAATATGGGAATATTTCGTTCATTGAAGAATTATCTAACTGAATAGAGTCAGTCACTAGTGAGCATCAGATCAATTTTCAAGTATTACTTTATAGGGATTTTGTTTGATTAGTTAGAGGATTTCAGCATTAGTTGACGTCATTGATAAAATCCTCCAACCAATCAAACAGAATCCCTACAGACCAATACTTGAAAATTAATTATTTATTTTGTAATTTTTTAAAACGCTACATACGCAAATAAAAATGTCCTACTTCAGAATATTAATCGTTTACAATGAGCGAAATAAAGATTTCCAGTTATTATTGATTGTGTCATGAAATAATTGTTTCTGTATATGAGACAGAGGGAAACAAATTGTACACTGTGGTTTACCTCATTGGTTTCCTGTCTGCATCAAGCAAGTATCTATTCCAATTTATTCCCTTCATTTTTTCATTTTTTTTTGGTTTTTTCTATTGCTAACTTTTTATAAATTATATCTATAATGATTTACTGATAATCTCAGGATTATATTGGTCTGCATTCATGCGTTGATTAAAATTCACGTGTACAAACTGTTTTACTGTTTTGGAAATAAGTTAAACCCAGTTAGTCCCTTGGATAAATTTGAATAAGACATTTAAATGACAAATATAGCGAGATGATATCTTCATTTCGTAGTTGCTTTACAATCGCTTTGCAACTAACATGGTTAACAATGATAAAATAAAATGCATGACAATTACTCAGTTAAACAAGAAACAAAAGTACATACTAATGACCAATCATACTTGAATAGGTCAAGTATTGGTCCATCAAAGTAGGCGAAGGTTGAAGTCCATTGTTTTTTGTATATGCAGTTTAGGCTGTATGTGATTAATCCAAAGTGCTTCTATCACCTTCAATAACCTTGAATTAGAGTTATGTGAAATAATTGTAAAACAGTCATTAATATTTATTTTGTGACCTGACATTAATAAGTGTTTTGCAATGGATGACGCTGGATTTCTATTCAGATTAGTGGCATTGGGATTTTCTATATGATTTAGTAGCCATTTTGAAACATGTTCTTTTCGACGACCATATTGGAACATTCTATTGGTTCTACCTATATAGTGTGTGTCACCGCAGCTGCAGGTGAACTTGTAGATACAGTTTGAAGTAGAGTCCACAGAATTCCGTCTTTTAATCGTAGGTACAGGGATCGAAAATGTTCGACATATGAGAAAAAGAGATGCGGCGTAGAATGTGCGTTTGATGGCTGGCTGACCGAAGTCTTTGAGCTGTCAACTGCATAATCTGGTCACCCTTGAATGGTAGGTTAATAAAGATAGCTTTCTATGGTACAGAATCTGTCTTTTCTAGATGTGGTCTCTCCTTTCTGTGACAATTGATAAAGTTTTCTGGAAAACCATTAGCTAATAAAACTTGCACTCTATCCCAACTCAAGTTGGAAGTATTATCGTACGAAGTGTTACGAACAGTTAACAGCTGATCTAATTATGCAATGGCATTCTTACAAAAATTCTTAAGATAATAATAACAACAATAACTAACTTTCATGTTGGAAAATTAAGTTATGTTCCTAGAAAAATCAAAGGTTTGGCAAGAGTTAAATTATGGCTTTTCCAGAGAATTAGGTTGGGTTCACAGAGAATTTTGGTCTGCAACCAACTCCAGCTTAACGGCGAACATAAAGAACAGCGGTCATAGGGTGCAAGTGCACCAGTGACCTTCAACGGATATCATTCGTTGGAAAACTAGCCTTGTATTCCACATCAAAAAACCGTTTATTTATGAG